CTCACATGCTCAAAGTCACTCTTCATCTTGTCCAAGGCCTCCTTAGGAAAGTACTTCTTATCGAACTCCTGTATAAAATCAGCAAAAGTAAGCCTCTCTGCTCCACGGCTCAAACGCACTCCAACCCACCAAACTAGTGCATCTCCACGTAGATACTGCATCGCCAATCTAAGTGAGAACTCTGGTAGGCAATCGAGAATCTCCAACTTACGCTCCAGACCTAGCTTCCAATCATGTGCCTCTATCGGATCCGTCGCTCCACTGAAATGCACCATATCCATGTCTTTCATCTGCCTCGTCAGCCTGAAAAACCTATCATCGTAGCCTGGGTGATAGTGAGGTGGTGGAGGTGGTGGAACATGAATACCCTGATCAAACTGATATGCTGGGGCATGCTGCAATGGAACCTGAGGAAAGGGAACCTGCTGAGCGGGAACCTGAACTGGCGGAACCTGAACTGGCGGAACCTGAACTGGTGGAACCTGAACTGGCGGAACCTGAACTGGCGGAACCTGAACTGGCGGAACCTGAACTGGTGGAACCTCCTGCACCTGAATCTGCGGACCCTGATGAACCCGAACCTGAGGGCCCTGATGAACTGCAGCCATCTGTCTAGCAACCTCCTGTGCTGCTACTCTAGCAGCCTCCTGAACTGCCTCCTGAGCGGCTTGCCTCGCTGCATCCTGCACCATCTGTCTCAAAGCATCCTGATCAATCGGTGGTGGTGCATGCTGCGGAACTGCGGGCTGAACATCATCATCTCCTGCCTCTCTAGCAGCTCTGGTAGTCTGAGTACGAACAACTCTCGGTCTCGGTGGCATCTGAAAGGGGAAACAAATCGGTTAACTTCTATCGAATACCAACTCAAAAGGGGGGGGGGTTAAAGAAGTGATACCGGACATAATGGTGCTATTGATTTTACTTTGAAAAATATCCCAAATTCCCCAAAAACATTTTGAAAAATCATCAAAATCCGATTAAAACCGAGGTCTCCACAAATCGCCATCCCGGGTCGGAGCCAGGACGGAACCACGCTCTGATACCAAAAACTGTAACACCCGTTTTCTCGAAAATAATAAAATTAATAATAATTACTGAAAACATCGGATTTAATAGTAATACTTAAAAGTCGACATAAACCGTGCCACATAAGTCCAAAACATAAAACGGCCCAAGGCCCAATACATAACATCCGTAATAACGTCAATATCATAAACCGAAAGTCCGAAATAACATAAGCGATAAAAGTCCAAAGGCTTATAAGCCCAAAAACGATAAAATACGATAAAATACGATAAGATAAGATAGAATACTATAGAAGTCCAAAAGCCCAATAGCACCGGTCCGATATGGTCACTCCTGCTGATCGGTCTCACCTGCAAGGGGAAGAAAGAGGGGTGAGAAACAGGGGAGTCGCTCAGTGAGGTATGGGATGCTACCCCGAAGTCCGTAGACCCGGACATAGCACTCCAAATAAATATAAATTAATTCTAATGCATGTCAAACACGGTACCTAAAGTACCCAAGCAAACAAGCAATGGTCCTAGCGAGACGCGCACTCGCCGCCCACTAACGGGCCAAAAACAACACTTCCCACACTGG